TGCAAATTACTTATTATCCCATTGTTTAATCCTACTCCTTAAATTGTCCAAAGTGTGTGGCCCGTATAGGCACTTATAAAGCTGGCCACAGTATTGGCTCTGCACCAATACTTCGACTCATACTCCATGTAACTGTATTCCTTTATCTCAATGTCTAAACTTAATGCAAGGGATTAATAAAATCCAACTTGTATCCATTAAGTCGTTCACTGATTTATCAAGTCTGGCTGATAAGAACAAACGTCATAAAAACATCTCAGCATGGCCATGCAATTTCCTTAGTCATGACTTATTAGTGGGCCCCATAAGACATTAATCTCTTAAAAAGAGTAGTGACAAATCCTATGTACGTAATCTACATTTCTGAATATGCGCTCCGGCATACCCAAAACAAAGCATGTATACCATCCTTATTTCATATGGCTTAGGATAATGCATCAAACCATGCGGGTTCACATATGCAGAAAACGTGATACTTCAAGTCGAAGGATAGTTACACCCGTGGTCGTGCTAAAGATGCTTAGAGCATGAACTAAAAATTCAAGCAACATCTTTAGGATGGGTCACTCCGGCATCCTATTATCTCTAGATAATATCTGCCCATGTGCGGATGCGAACACACTGTCATTGACTATGAGACTAAGTCAAACATCCAACACACACTAGTCTCACATGCATTAACGATATCCCACTCTCGTTAATACTCGACTATGGACATTCAGATAAATATTTATTTCAAGATGTTAGTCTCATCAGCAGAAAAACACTATCTGATAAACATCTTTTAAATATAAATCTAGGAATATAATATTTGTTTACATTAGCATGAGATGTGTAAACATATTATGTCTGCCTATACATGATTGAATAACGATAAACAGTTGGCCATCAGGGCACAACTCCAACAACAACAAGATAGGAACAAATGTCCTTCTATATCTCACCATTGATTGATTCTTGCTGTCCCTGAGAAATTCGCAGTATTAATCGATTTTTTACTTTGTGCAAATCGATTTCTCTTCTTTCGCTGATTAAGTTCTCTCGCCCGATTTTTTAATCGATTAATTCACATTTGGTGAAATCGATTTCTGGTTTAAATCGATTAAACGGATCCTCAATTAATCGCTTAACTACCTATAGCGCAGAAGGAATTTTGTTCAGAAGCATCTAATCGATTTTCGCTCTTTGTACAAATCGATGTTTTGTCCGTTGTATCTCTTCTCAGCCAATTTCTTGCACCAACATACATATCAATTTTTCACCTATATAATCCCTCTTCCTCCTTCATTCTATACACAATACAAGCACTCCAACCCTCTCATTCATTACTTTTTATTCTTGCTCCATCTCTTGATATGATAATCAAATACTATTTTGAGAGCTAGATATATATATATATATATATATATATATATATATATATATATATATATATTTTCCCAGAGAGAAGCACCAAATCGGTGTGGTAGAGCCGGGGAACTCCTACCGAATTTTATTAAGACGGGGGGAGGGAGTACAAGAGAGATCACGTTTGGGGGGACTAGACCGAAACCCGAAGGTAGAAGAGACAAAAGAAGGTACAAAGTGCTAAAAGTAGACAAATAAAAACTAACAAGGCCCAAACAGTTCCACATACGTCGACTTCTTATTCGACTTCTTTCCCGATCTCTGCGAAGTAGTTGCAGATGAAGTTCCCGGTGAGAGCAAAGTATTGAAGACCTTCATCAGTAAGGTTGGTGTCCTTAATCATCCACTTTTTTCTTCGAAATTTCCAACACCACAAGTAAATATTGTATTGAATTGTATGCTTGATGTTTGCGATTATTTCCTTTTTATTGCCGAATATGTTGCTAGCATAGTTTTTCCAAATAGACCAAGCAATAATACCAGGAGCAATAAGTCTAAGCTTCCCCTTGAATGAGTTAGAAGATCTCATATTCCACTCAAGAATATGTTGTTGGAGTGTGATACCTTTTGTAGGAGTGGGTCCGTCAAGAATGAGAGCAAGTTCTTTCCAAACACCATGAATCATAGGGCAATGTAGCAAGCAATGGTCCATACTCCCATCATCTTTGAGGCAATTAGGGCATTGAGAGGGGAGTGAGTTATAGATGTTGTTAATATTCTCAGGGAAAGGCAAAAGCTTGTAGTTAACTTTCCAAAGGAACAACTGGCTTTTGATAGGTTGAAGGTGGTCCCAGTTATATTTGTCATTGAGAGTGATAGAGTAGTGTGGTCTGCAGTGGTTATAGGCTTCCTTGAAAGAAATTTGGACCACTTCTGAGTACCCATCATCATCTTGCTCAGGAGTAATGTCCCCCAAAAGCTCTTCAGCTATAGAGTTTATTCTGCAAATTCTTTTACGAATAGGAGAATCAGTGAGTTTCTCTCTAAAACAAGTGGTACTATATTTTCCCCTCATGAAAATGGACCATAAGCTATCATTATACTTGAAATTCCACCAAAGCTTCACAGAAAAGGCCTCCTGAATGTCCTCCAAGTTACGAATTCCCAAACCACCTTCTTCTTTAGGTAGGCAAACCTTGTCCCAGGTAGCCCAATGATGTCTATCTCCCCATAAAAATTTGGCCATCATTTTGTTGAGGTGTGATATAACTGACTTAGGAAGCTGATGAACTGCCATATGATGAAGTGGTATAGTAGAAAGCACATGTTTGATTAAAATCATTCTACCAGTTTGACTCAAAACCTTATTGTACCACTTATCAATATAATTGTTGAAATGGTCAAGTATTTCCCCACAATCTTGCTTCTTGATAACTCCCCTGCAAATAGGGGTACCCAGATACTTGAAAGGAAGTGTGTCTTTGTTCATGTTGAGGATTGTTTGTGCTCTCTG